TTATACATGGACACAATATCTTTATTTTGTTTATTTATTTTGTATGGTGCTGAGGATTGACCAGGGCTGTGGGATTTGGGTCCTCTCCCTCCAGAAGCTTAGTGTATGGGACTTGGGAAGATGGCTGCATGGAGGGGAGGGGTGTTTTGCCTTGGGGACAATTCTCTAGTCCAGTGTCACTTTTGTTTACACTTGGTGCAGGGATTGGTGGGTGGGCTTCTGGTTAGGCAGGCTTTTCCTAAAGGTTTCCACATTGAAACAGGGCCCAGGAGATTTATAAGAAGGCCTGGTGGGGCCATGAGCAGCAATGGCCTTTTTTAGGCCTATGGATGGCTGAGGCTAGGAGCTGATGCTTTTCTTTCTCCTGTTTGGCCTTGTCTTCCCTGTTATTAAAGTTCTTGAAAGCAGCATATATCAGTTGTTTCTGGGAAGCTTTGGTGCCCTTCTCTCTTTTAAGTTTTTATGGATATCAAGTGTAGAACTGATGAAAAATTGAATGGGGGAAAGAGAGTACCAGCAGGAGTATGAAGGTCTAGGGTGATATTTTGGTAATTGAGTGAAGGTAAAAGAAAGCTTGGAGGCAGAAAACCTCAGACAAACTTGCCATTCTGTAATTTGAGACAATTTTTCCAATCTATAGTAGGTAATTTTTTAATTTTGGAGAATTTTTTGATCAAAGGTTTCATATTTGCACCATTGGTGCAGATAATCTAATTTGTATTGTGGCCAGTTTGAGTGCTAAGGCTAATGAAGCATTAATTTTGAGGTCAGCTTGGGAGTAGAGGGTCTTAAAATGGGTAGAGAGACAACCTAGGGGATATCTCTGGAAGCTGATTGTGTAGTTTTCAGCCTTGGAGAAGCTTGACTACAGAAGGTGACAACAGAAGGCAAGGTATACCTTACACTCTTTATGCCATCAATGTGCCAGTCCTGGACTAGACTTTCCCCACGAGGAGTTGGGAAAACATCTTTCCCTCAATCCAAGTGGTAAGGGACATGGTCCCAGTCATCCTAAGGGTGGAATTGCTGTTCAGCAGAGATGAAATGAATAATGAATGGGGTCTTATCTCTCCAAAGAGATGAGAAGACAAGAAGGCTGGTGCTGGGTATAGAAGCAAAATGGCAAGGTCCCTGATCCAGAGGTTTGTTGATCGTGCAAGGGAAGGGAAGGTTTGGGGGTGGGAAGTAGAAGTAAGCCTCCTTTAACATTAACAAAGGGTTTGGTACAAATCCCTTTACTGTCCATAGGGTATAAAGCCACACAAGTTTAGCAGGTGGTTGATATCTGGTATCCCTGTTGGCTGTTGAGGAGTCAGATTTTAGATTTAAAGCCTTGGTGCAACACTAGGGAGTTGCTTTGAGTTCTCCCATTTTATGCATGATTTTTTTTTTAATTTTTAATTTTTTGCAGAAAGTAGACAGTAGAGGGTGTGGAAGGCCTATGTTCTGTGGGGTCAGGAAATGCAGTCAGTGTAGGGACTTGGTCCTAGCTGCATGAACTGTGGCTGGGGGTTTGTTTCCCTAATCTCAGAGATCCTTGGGGATGCTGGACACTCAACAGTCACTTCCCTGATCCCATCAATTGTTTGACTTAACTACAGGGAAAGAGGAAGTGTTCAGTGGGGGACAGCGAAGGGTTAATGTTACCTTACTCCTGTTCAGGGAACTGTTAGGACAAATAACACATGATGAAGGCAGGAAATGGGAAGCAAACTTAGGATCAGAAGCTTTTCTTTATTCAGTATTTAGTAGGAAGTCAGGTTCTAAGCTGACATGATGAAAATTTGGGCTACTTTTTCTTTTTTTAGTTGCAGTGTCTCTATTCTAGTGTCTAAGTCTTTGATTCACTTTGAGTTAATTTTTGTGCAGGGTGAGAGATAGATGTTCAATTTCATTTTACTACATATAGATTTCCAGTTTTCCCAGCACCATTTGTTGACTAGACTATCTTTTCTCCAATGTATGTTTTTGACACCTTTGTCTAGTATGAGATAACCATATTTATGAGGGTTTGTTTCTGTTTCTTCTATTTTGTACCATTGGTCTACATATCTATTTTGGTACCAATACCATGCCATTTTTGTAACTATTGCTCTGTAGTATAGTTTAAGGTCTGGTATTGTGATGTCTCCTGCTTCACTCTTCTTGCTGAGGATTGCTTTGGCTATTCTAGGTTTCTTATTTTTCCAAATGAATTCCAATGCTTTTTCTAGTTCCATGAAGAATGTCATTGGGCTTTTCATAGGAATTGCATTAAATCTGTATAACGTTTTTGGTAGTATGGCCATTTTAAGTATATTAATTCTGCCTATCCAAGAACATGTGAGATCTTTCCATCTTCTAAGGTCTTTTTCAATTTCTTTCTTTAGTGCTCTGTAGTTTTCATTTTAAAGGGCTTTCACTTCTTTTGCTAGATTTATTCCCAAGTATTTTATTTTTTTAGGCTATTGTGAATGGGGTAGTTTTCCTAATTTCTCTTGCAGTGGATTCATCCCTTATGTACAGAAATGCATTTGATTTATGGGTATTGATTTCATATCCTGCTACTTTGCTGAATTCATTTATTAGTTCTAGAGGTTTTCTGGTGGATTTTTTTGGATCTTCTAAATATAGAATCATGTCATTGCAAATAATGATAGTTTGAATTCTTCTTTTCCTGTGTGTATTCCTTTAATTTCTTTTGTCTGTCTGATTGTTGTAGCTAGATTTTCAAGGACTATGTTGAATAGAAGTGGTGAAAGAGGACATTGCCATCTTGGTCTAGTTTTAGAGAGAATGCTTTCAATTTTTCTCTATTTAGAATGATGCTTGTCTTGGGTTTAGCATAGATAGCTTTTACAATGTTGAGGTATATTCCTACTATCCCTAGTTTTTCTAGAGTTTTGATCATGAAGAGGTGCTGTATTTTGTCAAATACATTTTTCTGCATTTATTGTGATAATCATATGAATCTTGTCTTTAAGTCTATGGATGTGATGTCTTATGTATATTGATTTCTGTATGGTGAACCAACCTTTCATCCCTGGGATGAACCCCACTTGATTGTGGTGCACTATCTTTTTAATATGTTTTTATATGTGATTTGCCAGAATTTTATTGAGAGTTTTTGCATCTATGTTCATCAGGGATATTGGTCTGAATCTTTCTTTCTTTGATGTATCTTTGTCTGGTTTTGGAGTCTAGGTTATACTAGCCTTATAGAATGAGTTTGTAGGGTTCCCTCCTTTTCTATTTCATGGAATAAATTGAGGAGTATTGGTATTAGTTCTTCTCTGAAGGTCTTGTAGAACTCTACTGAGGATTCATCTGGCTGGGGTTTTCTTGGTTGGTATGCTTTTGATGGTGTCTTCTATTTCCCTGCTTGAAATTGATTTGTTTAAATTGTGTATATCCTCTTGATTCTGTTTGGGTAGATCATTTGCCTCTAGAAATTTGTCAGTGTCTTCGAGATTTCTATTTTATTGGAGTATAAATTTTCAAAATAGTTTCTAATTATCTTCTGTATTTTAATAGTGTCTGTTGGGATATATCCTTTTTCATCACGAATTTTAGTAATTTGAGTTTTCTCTTTCCTTCGCTTCATTAGCAGAGAAGTTTAATGAGCAATCCCAGTCCTAAGCATTTACTCAAGAAATTTTATTACTTTTATTACTCACGAGAAATAAAAGCAGATGTCTATGTGAAGACCTGTGTGCAAGTCTGCAGTGGCTATAGTATGAATTGTCTCAACCTAGAAACAGTTGCCAGTCCCCACAGACTGTAAAATATTTAATTCTATTCAAATAACATTCTGGAAAAGACAAAACTATAGGGACAGAAAACAAATCAGTGGTTGCTAGGGTGATTGTAGGGAGAGGTTGATTATGATGGTGCATGAGGGTATGTTTTGGGGATGATGAAATTCTTCTATAAGTTGACTGTAGTGATGATTACATAACTTTAAAATGTTTGTCAAAATTCTATATGTTGACCGTAGTGATGATTACATGACTTTAAATGTTTGTCAAAATTCGAAAACTATATAATAAAAAGACTGGGTTTGTTGCATGTACATTATACACCAATAAACCTGACCTAAAAAATTTGTACTCCTATTGACTTCAGGATGAAGCTTAAATGCTTTTATTGGGTTATCAGTGAGGCCTTCCTCAATGGTGTGGGGCAGAGGTCATTTTTTCTTTCTAGATCTAGAATGTATCCCAGTTTTAAATTGGTGTGTGTGTGTGTGTGTGTGTGTGTGTGTGTGTGTGTGAGAGAGAGAGAGAGAGAGAGAGAGAGAATAAGTGAATGAATGAATAATTAAATGGAAAATTCTAGAGATGAATTCTCTATATTGACATTGAACATATTTAAAAATCTTTTATGCTGGTAGGTGGACATTATTTTTCACTATTGCAAAAAAATTCTGGGTAGCAATTGTTAATTTTAATCCAAATAGATTGATTCTTTTTTTAAAAATTTATTTTTTAGTTTTAGGTGGACACAATATCTTTATTTTATTTTTATGTGGTGCTGAGGATTGAACCCAGTGCCTCATGCATGCCAGGCAAGTGCACTACCACCTGAGCCTCATCCCCAGCTCCCAGATTGATTCTTAGTTAGTAAGACTGCCTACTTTGATTTTTCATCACCCCACTCAAAGACTCCCAATATATTGAAAGGGTATCCTGTCTATTCTTCTAGGCTTTTCTATCTGGATTTTCCAATCTAACTTCTTCTTTGCTGCCTTAATAATCTCTCTAGAATACCATTTGATACCCCAAATCCAAACCTCTGCTGATTCACTTTACAAAGTACTTCTATAACTGGCAGCACATTCAAATAAGAATTTATCATGAATCATCATGAATCATATAGAAAAATCACATCCTCTCCAAAGGGCTTTCACCAGCAGGCATGATTTTTCTTTCTTTTTGTTTTAAAATGATTTTTCTTCACTCTGCTTTAGGTGGGAAGAGATATGTAATACTGGATCCATCTCTTTCAGATTGGCTCCTACTTTGGGGCTTCCCTCTGCTCGGTGGACATGGACGGTGATGGAAACACCAACCTGGTCCTCATTGGGGCACCCCATTTCTATGAGCAGATGCGAGGGGGCCAGGTGTCCGTGTGTCCCTTGCCTAAGGGGGTGAGTTGAGTGGCTGATGGGACCTGGGC